GTTATGAAAACCAAGGACCTATATCCAAGATTACTCTATCCAGTAAAGCTATCATTTAGAATGGAAGGGCAGATACGGTGCTTCCCAGATAAGATCAAGGTTAAAGGAGTTCATCATCACCAAGACCTTACTATATGAAATGTTAAATGGGCTTATCTAAGAAAAAAAGACCAAAAATATGAGTAGTAAGATGACAAGAAACTCACAGCTATCAACAACCAAACCTAAAACAAAAACAAAAACAAATTAAGCAAACAAGTAGAACAGGAACAGAATCCCATAAATGGAGATCACATGGAGGGTTATCAGCGAAGGAGAAAAGGTACAGGAAATAAGTAGCATAAATGGTAGGTAGCAAATAGACAGGGGGAGGTTTAGAATAGTACAGAAAATGTACAAGCCAAAGAACTTGTATGTACAACCGATGGACATGAACTAAAGGGAGGAGTGAATGTGGGTGGGAGGAGATGTGAAGGATGAAGGGGAATAAAGGGAGGAGAAAATGGAACTACCGTAATAACACAATCAATAAAATACATTTTTAAAAATGAAAAAAAGATCCTTTGACCAAATCCCAGAATATTAAAAATTCACAAATGACCTAAAATTTAAATATAATATTCTTATGTAATACAAACTTATAAAATTTGTCATCCTGAGAAACAGTGCACGCAAAAATGTGAGCTGGTTTATAGACACTTAGAGAAGTTTCATAGTAACTAATATTTAACTTTCTACTCATAGTTAAATTCAGTAGTGTATTCATAGTGTAAATATATATATATCTTTTTTATATCAGGGGAATTGTGATGTAGCTTGGCATTACATTTTGCTGGTCTCCTTTTATTTATATAATAACTTATTTATTTCCACAAATAAATATTTATATATAAATACATATATATATTTAGTAATAATTTTGAAATTACAAAAAAAGAGAAAATTCTTACAAATGCTAAAACATAAGCCAATCACAAAAAGAAAAATACTGTATGATTCCACTTATATGAGGTACAAATTCACAGAGATAGAAAATAAATTGGTGGAGATAGGGGTAGTAGGGGAAACCATGTTCTCATTGAACACTAATAACATATAATAGAAACTCATTTGGTGATCTCATCCCAATGAAAATAATCTGACCATGATTTACTCGGTTTAGTATTGAATTGTCTTGTATCAAATGATTAATAAATACTAGGACTTGATATTGTTTTAAATTCATTTGTAAAAGGGAATATAGAAAAGATGGGTGCCTATTACAAAAACATCTCAAACAAACTTTGAGATGCATGAAATTCTGTGCAAACACATACTCAATTTTCATCAAGTGACAGTAATTACTTCCACGGCATGAAGGAAGAGCAAAGATTAATTAAATAAAATGATAATTAATTAAGCCACCAGCTGAAAAGTGCTACAAACCTAATAGTGGATATAGTAGGGGGTTCACAAAGGATGCTACAGAATAACAAGGATCTGACTAGGTTTTAAACTTAGAGCTCTATAGTTTTATTGTTAACATATCCAGTCTCTGAATAGAAGGTCGTGGCTGGCACTGACAAAGGCAAGAGTCATCTTAACCATCAATGAATAACTCCTTTCTGCTGAACACAATGGCCATACAAACATAGAAATATGACAGGAATATTAAACTTTCTAAAGCTTCAGCCATAAGATCAAGGTAAGCAGAAAAAAAAATCTTACACACAGAAAATAAACTTAATATAGAAATTATACATGTTGATCAAGATTTGAAAAAGTACTTATCAACAAGAAAATACACCATAGTTACAATTACAGTAATTAGGAGAGAAAATATTTCTAAGATGCATCTATACCATCTCTGCCAAATATTTTCTTTCCTTCTCATTTCCAGTCTATCTATACCAATTCAACAATTTTAGGAAGCAAGTTTCACAATTGACAGATTAAATTGGTAGATGTAAGAGAAAGTTTACCAATAATTAAATGGTAGAAAGAGTTTGAGTCTTGCTTAATTTTCTGATTAATCTCATCTATTCCTACTTAGTAAGATTAAGAGTTAATGAATAATTTAATATGGAGATTAAAATGACCCTTTTCTTTTTTAATCTTTTATATACAGAATCTCAAGTACATGCTTTTCTGAATTAAACCAATTAAATAAAATCCAATGTACAAATTTTGAGTTCATGTGTCCCCTTTTAAAAGGCACAGTATTTTTATTTCATATTTTCCAGTAAAGAATATTAAATTTTATATATTTAACTAAAAACAATGGCTTGTAAAATCAACGAAATTATCTGTTTCTTTCTTTTGTAAAACATTTAATAGAAAAAGTAATACAGCAAATCATAAATTACTATATACACAGTCAATTCCTTAAGAGGCTGGGACCCTAGAGAAGGAAAAAAAGGTAGAAACCAAGTTTTTGAGTTGTCAGAGAGCAAGACTCTTAGAAGGGCAAGAAAGCTTCTTGGCAAAGTTCAACATCTGGCATTACTCTCTTTTCTATAAAGAACTCAGTTACACTCTACCTGCTTCCTTTCCACTGCCCCTATCTTTTGTTTTTGACCAAAACTGTTTTCTTTTTTGAGTCAGTCATTGAGTCAAATTCTCTCATGTCAGATTCTATCCTATCTCTTCTTTCATTCTTCAAGCAGAGCACTATGGACTTCTACAAGTTTTTAACCATTAGCAAAAACTGGAAACATATTTTTTTGGGGGGGAGTTACTTTTGTATACTGTAAATACCTATTTCCCCCATATGGGCCCCAGAAGTACAAAGTTTGTGTACATAAAGCATTACTCAAGGTTTAGTGAGGTTCAGACAAGACCTGCCTGGAGGTAAAAGGGGTCAATAAGGAGCAAAGTTGCAGACCAGTTCCTTCTCTTCCCATTTGCCACTGCTAGACCTATAACCAAAATATCCTCTGACCCAGACTAGGAGATGAAGGAAAAGTGAGAAACAAGTCTGAAATTAGGAACATATTTTAGGTACTAGGAGGGAGTCTAGTGAGCCAAGAAGGAATGAAAGGAAGAAAAATGACACAAACAATGGAGAGAAGAGTAGTTAGAACAGCCCTGAAGCAAAGCTGGTAAGAAGAAACAAGTTAGCAACAGCCACTGGGCTTGTCATCATACCCAGATCTACCCCTGTGAAAAGAAGCATATATAAAGTTGGGAGTAACAGCACAGGGAATTGCACAGCCACCTAACTATCTCCCTCTCACAGACGCACACATGCACACACGCACACACACACTCTGCCTTGGTAGCACTACAATAAAATCACATCCTAACACCTATAAATCAGGGAAAGATAATATATACGATTGCCCTCTGCTATAGGGTGATGCAATCAATGATTTGATATAAAAAATCTCATTGGAGATAGCTATATCAGATAACCAAAGCTTTGAATGTGGCTCTCCAATAGTTTCTTTATTCAGTTTTATTTATGGAGTAATGATATTCCCTTAGGTAAGATTCAAAAGCTGCAATCGGTTGTTAAATAATATACACACACACAAAAAAAAACCTACCATCATCATTTTTGTTGTTTTTTAGATTTTTGATAGTCATGAAATACATTTACCAATGTGTTTTTCCAGAAATTCACTGTGAAATAGGGTCAATTGAATGTAACAGCAAATCTTTTGTTTTTTGCTATACTAATGACAAATAAAATAGAAAAGCTATGAAAATACTAAAACTGTAAAGAAATTTAAGAGAAGTTAAGACATGCTGCTTCATATAAAATATATAACATTGGATATAGAAATTTTTACTCATAAAAATTGACATTCTACACAATGAAGTTTTTTAAAAGTTTGATTTTTTTAAACATTCAAGAAAATAAGACTAGTAAATAGATGAAAAGCATTTGCCTTTTCAGGTCACCCTTTAAAATTCAGTGACAATTTCTGTTTGGTATTATTGAGAACAAAGATTTACAGGTAGGGATATTCTGGTACCAAAGTACACTAGAATAAGGTATGGTTAATTTAAAAAAAAAAACTAATCTTGAAAATGACTTTCAAACACTGTGAATTTACTGTGTTACTGTGATTAGCCACAACACATATATGTATATACACATATATGTATGTGTGTGTGTATATATATATATATATATATTCCCTGTAAAGATACAATTAAAAAGGATATTCCAGTCATTTAATTGAAGAAGAGTAGATGATCAGAAAAAAATGACAGGTCTACCTCTTTAAGAAAAATAGAAACTGCATGATGGCCAAGGGTTGAAACTAAGTTCCCAGAGCATAAGCAGGTATTTTGTACAATGTCAGGAGCTGTCCAGTAACGTAGGAGAGACATTCTAACCCTAACAAAGCTCTTGAACTGTCTCCAAACCACCTCTAAACTAGTTATCAAGTCTCTGGACAATGAAAACCTTTCCACTGCACCTGAGAGAAACTGCCTTGCCCTTCTCCAATCTAAATACCAAAGTTCTCACCTAAAAACACTGCCAGTTATTTTCTTCCATAGAGACACTAAAGACAGCCAACTCTTTTTAAAGGGTCTTAATGCCTTTAAATGCCCATACTGGTCTCACTCCGGATCAGTCTCAGAAAAATAATCTGCCTACTCAGCCTTTAAGTGGTACAATCCCATTAGATTTTATTTTATAAACATTTCCAAAATCTGACCTATGATCATTTTTAACATGATCATTTTAGTCCAAGCCACCATCATATCTGACCTTTATTATTACAATAGCACCCTGAAGGCTTTCCCTTCTTGCCCTTCTTACAGATTGTATTCTCTACATGGGGACTGGAATGAATTTTAAAAACAACTCAAATCATGTTAATCCTATGCTGCAAATCTACCACTGGCTTCCCCATCTCATTCAGAATTTAATCCACTGGTCTGCAATGTTTTACAGGTTCTGCCTGCAACCTCCCTCCCTTTATCTCCTACTATTTTCTTTTTTTAAATAAGAAAACTATTCTTAAAAAATATTTTATTGTTTATGCTATTACAGTTGTCCCACTAAAAATATGGAACACTTCACAAATTTGGGTGTCATCTTTGCATAGGGGCCAAGCTAATCTTCTCTGTATTGTTCTAATTTCTGTATATGAGCTGCTGAAGCAAATACTACTATTCTTTTTCTTGGATAAGTTTATCTCAACATGGACCCTGGCTTTTGCTCAAACACACCAAACATGCTTCCTCCTCAGGACCTTTCCACTTGCTCCTTCTTCTTCATAAAATGCTTTCCCATGGATACCTGAATGTTGGGGGCTGGGATAAGCCTGAAACAGGCTGATACAATCCGACCTGAAGGTTGCGCCTGAATAACAGGATGCTGCGGTTAGGAGCCATAGAACTCCCCCTCCTGGACATGCGGGTGGCACACCAATCAGTGCCTTGATCACGCGCCCGCCATGCACCCCCCGGCCAATCGCAGGCTAGAGCACGCTTTGAAGCCACCTATCCACTGCACTTCCTCCACTGCCCTCCTCTATATAACTCCCTCCATTTTGAAATAAAATTTGCAGCTTGATCAGAATCCTTTGTCTTGCTGCCATTCTTCGCGCCTCCTGTCCCATCCCCCTTCATCCGTTACAGGTATATTGGCGGACCCCGTTGACTGCCTCGCGGGCCGAGGCACCTGAATGGTAACTTCCCTTGACTTCCTTCAGGTCTTTGTTCAAATATCATCTTATGGGAGGAAGTTTTACTGTCTGTTTTCTCCCAGTACATTAAAGCTTCATTAAAAACAAAAAAGAATGTCATTTGTTTTATTCACTATTATATGTACAATGCCTAAGACAGTGCCTGATACACAGTAGGTACTAATAAAGATTTGTGGAAGAAATGAATGTATGAAGTGGAAATAATATAGTCCATTCAACAAAAGTGGGGCTGAAACTGGTTCCCTATTGGTTGGCTTCTCATTCCTCTTTATATAATAGTCAAAACCAATATCCTTAATAACTGAATAGTATTTTGAAAATTCCAGGGAGAAGCAGTTAGACTGTAATGACTCTATGGATTGGACAAATAACTACCTCCAAAGAGCAAAATTATTTAAAAGTTTTAGAGAAACCTAAAAGCTCACTAGGCTTGGTAGGTAAATCACACACAGAACTTAAGTATCACTACTTTGAAGTAACCTCGATCACATGCCCTTTGAAAAATCACTTGCTATTCACTATAGCATCACATTATAGTACAGTGCCATAAAATGAATTTCAAATAAGAAGTGTTCCAAAAGTTTTATATACTCAACATGATGTTGAAATATTTACAAATGTGGTAAGAAATTTAATGATTATCTTGAATTTGCTAACACTCTTCTTTTGCATTCCTTTAATCAGTCAGTTACTTATTGTATTAATTTCTACCTCAGCAATATTTTGAGTAACTATCCCAATTTGTTCTCTTCACGTATGTAGTGCTCTGGATCAGGTCCTATGTATTGCTGATTCTTCTAATTATGTTTCTGTTCCAATCTGCAGTTAACATTGCCAGCACACGTATCTTGCCATAAACACAAGTTGGATCACATCCAATCACTACTCAAATGTGATTCTCTGCCACTTCAAGAATAACATTCATACTCCTGAGCATAATATTCTGCAAGGTAGCCTCAATCTACATTTGCAGCTTCAGTACTTACCCAAAACTCAATGCTCCAAACCTCATCAAGACGTTAGTCACTTGCCAAACATGCCAAGACTTGTCACATACTTATATTCTGTTTCTTTTGTTTCCTAGGCCTAGAATATTCACCTTCATCACCCCCCATAGAATTTCTAATTTGAATCACCCTAAGATCAAATGCTCTCCTCTGAGGAAGTGTTCTCCATCTACTATTCTAAATTAATCACACTGTTTCAGAAATTAATTTGCACTTATTAAATCTTGAATACTCTAATTTTTCCATGTATATTCTACCAGTAAAACTTTATAATAAGCAACATATCTTGTTCATCTCTATGTTCTTCTGGTACCTAACAAAGTACAGTATTCTGAATCAAAAGGTTAACTACTTAAGAATACATAAAATTAAGGCATTCACATGAGAGTATGTTATAAAAATTCAGTAACTATAAAGATTAAAAAGAAAAGATCCAATAACTACTATTTTTAAACAGAATTATTATTATTCAAAGCAGCTTGCAAATAAATATGTTGGAGGAAATCTCAAAACTGACCTACTGAACTCAGGTTCCAATATAATGCAGTAAGCTCCTAAGAGCTACTGGAAATTGGGGGGGGGGGTGGATATAAATATAAAACAACTACCTAAAGGCTCTTGAGAGTGAAAAAAACCAAGATGACTTAGGTTGGAATTATAAACCAGGAAGAAGAGATCAGAATGAGTGAGTTTCTCTCTTTAACAGCTTTCAAAGGTCAGTACAGGTGAGTTTTTCATTCTTAGAGCTTTATCCTGCAGGCAAGCGGCAGCCATAGCATGTAAGAACTAAAATCCCCAATAAAAGGCCACTGTCTTTCTGGCTTGAAGAAAAAGAGGATAGAGACAGCACAAGCATAGCCTCCAAAAAGTAAGGATAGAATCCCAAAAAGGAGAAAAATAAAAAAGTGAATTCACTCCCCAAAACTGGGATTATCTTCTGGAGGGAGGACCCCTTACAGTACAGGTTTCCCCTACTAGGTGAGTGTTCTAGGAACCCATCTGTGTACCAGCTGGTGTTGTTGTGAGAGGCTGCATTCAGCCTCAGTGAAATTTTTTTAAAGATTTTTTAAAGATCTTTCAACACATTTGCCCATTTCATGATGAATGACTTATGAGTGTACCTGCCCACACCACACCGCTCTTGAGTGCGTGCTTAGCAGTTTTTGGCCAAAAATGGTATGACCCCCTGGCCCACCCTTCCTATTCACCTGATCTTGCCCCAAACAACTTTTTTTTTGTTTTCCCACATGAAAAAAAGTCCTCAAAAGGAAACAGTTTGCCAATGTGGAAGAGGTGAAACAAAAAATGGCAGAAGCACTACAAGGCATAAAAATCGACAAGTTCAAAAACTGTTTTTGAGCAGTAGGAAAAAAGTCTTGATAGGTATAAAAATAAGTACACAGTTTTTTATAAATAAATTCCAGTTTGGAAGTTCTCCCCACATATCTTACCAAAGTCTTTTTGGCTGAGCCATAGAGTATACATTCACAGGGCAGGCCCAAGGGAGTTTGCAGCTAAGGCCAAAAGAATCAAATTGAGATTTGAAGAGCTGCCAATCACAGGTAAGAGAGTTTTCATTTTGAGACTAATCCAATTAATGGCTCACTAAAATAAGAAAATCAACTCTTGGAGGAACAAGAAAGAAACCAAAATTTCCATAAATAACATTCACAATATCCCTAATACAATCTGACATTTCTTGACAATGAAATGTAACCCAGTCTCAAGAGAAAAGATTACCAAGAGAGGCCAACCTCAAGATGACCGAGATACTGCGATTTTTAGACAGAGAGACATTACAGCAGATACTATAACTATGCCAAATGAAGTAAAGGAAATATGATTGTAATAAGTTTAAAAACACGAACATTTCACAGAGACAAAAATAACAACATATTAAGTTTGAGAAAGCAAAGTATCTAAAATCTAAAAAAAATATTGTATGGTTTAAGAATGGAGATATGACAGGAAAAAGAGTGAGTAAATTTGATGTCAGATCAAAGAAATAATTCAATGTGATAAACAGGAAAGAGATTAAAAGATGATCAGGACTTTAGACATGTAAGAAAAGATATTTAAAAGTTTAACACAGGCATAATGAGAGAATGAAAAGAACAGGGAAGGTAAAAAAAAAATTGAAGCAACAATGGCCAAAAAGTTCACAGATGTGGTGATAGAAATTTACCAATTAAAGACACTAAGTCAAACCAAATCTAAGCACATCATACTCAAAGCTCAGACAAGCAAAAATATGAAGAAGACCTTGGTGGGAGAAAAAGAAATACATTTTACATACAAAAGAACAATAGTTCAAATTATTGCAGATCTGTCATCAGAAACTATGAATGTCAGCAGACGTGGAAACACATCTTCACAGCAACAGGGCAGAGGTAGGTAAAAAAAAATATCCTTCAAGAATGGAAGTGAAATGCATTTTCAAATAAAAGAAAATTAAGACTTTGCTGCCAGCAAAACTGCAGTACAATAAATACCAAAAGAAGTTCTTCAAGCTGAAGAAAATGTTATCAGAGAAAAATCTTGGCTCTCAAGGAAGGAAAGAACATCAGAAATAGTAAATATAAAATATCATTTTTTTTCTCTTTAACTTCTTTAAAGGTTATTTGACAAATGCAAATAAAGGAAGGCAGGGTAGGGGTAAATAGATTTATAAGGTCACAGAAATGACTTCATTTTATGTAAAGTGGTACAATATTAATTCTCAGTAGACTGTGAGAAGTTAATTATGTATATTAACATCCTTAGAGAGCCTTTACAAAAGCAGAGGCAGCACTAAAGAAACAAGTAAGTTAAAATGGAATCCTGACAAATTGCCAAATCCAAAAGAAAGAAGTATAGTCAAACAGAATTCAGATTGAAAAAAACAGGGAATATATAAAATAGTAGACCTAAATCCAACCACATGATAAAACATTACGTTTTTGTCTAGGGAGGAAGACAGACAAGCAATCAAATAGATACTACTCCCTTCAATGAAAACATCTCATTGCTAGGTGAGCTCCTGAAGTTCATGCTTTTGCTCTCTTGAATAAGACAGTTATATTTGGGTTTGGTGGTGAGAAAAGGAAGATGAAAACATTACAACTGCATTTGTGCATTTAAAAAAAACCATATAGTATTGTATCACTGTAAAAACTTCATGCAAAGATTTTTAGTTTGTTTTTATAGTACCCATTAGGATCATAAGTCAGTACCAACAAAGCAACTTCTGCATAACTATCAAGTATGTTTCAGTGGATTTTTGCTGATTACCTAACACAATTGCTATTTAAAAACAGCTGTGTGAGCAATTACTATTCTTAACTTAATTCCACAAACAATTCTATTCATTTCCTGTAATGAGGCCTATATACTCCCTGTGTTCAAGTCTTAGACCATTAATTCCTGTAATGGCAACACACTGCCTTTCTCTGAGGAACTCCATCAAAAT